TAGGGACTTTAGTCTTTCACAATCATAGCCAAGACAGAGAGAAGTCAAGCCTGATCTTCAACAATTCTTCAGATATTCCTGCGTATACTAAAATGAAACAAGTAGTATGTAGTCGCCTGCCTCATGGGCAATAGCCCTAGTTATATTATTTACATTATTCGGATTATTTACATTATTCGCCATATTTATCACAACGTTTCAGCCGTTGTACGCTCCGGCCTTCTTCAGGTGGTTGGAATGTCGAACTGAACCCTTTATTTCGCTCACTGGGGTAGACTGTTCTCGTTCCACGTACCATGTTTTGATGGATGTCAGTTATCAGTTATCTCCTGTTAATTTTCCCTCTGAAAGTTCTCCACTGACTTAACCGGGTATTGAACTCACTCTCTTTGGGTCCTGTCATTGGATCTAACCAACGCCTTTATCCACTGTGCCATGTGTCCTTGAGGACGTTGTGATAAATATGGCGACAAAGATGAGGACAATAGTCCGAATAATGTAAATAATGTACATAATACCTCATCTCAGAAATATAGACAAGCCCTAGTTATTTATAGTCTTTGTGACTTCATATGTAAATGGGTCACCTTATTGCTCTTTATCGAAGAAGTTTTATCCCCTTAATTTCCCTGGTACTTCTTCTGGGAGCTTTTGTCTCCTCACTATCTTCCTTTGTCTTGATATGGGAGATCGTGGTCTTTTTCTTTTTTCATAGTGTGTTCCTCGAACAATTGTTTTTGTTCATCTTCAGAGTCTATGTTACTATCGATTTCACTGTCTAATTTGTCTTGGCACTATCCTTTTTATTACTTTCAGGCTCACCATACATTTCTTCATTGCTATCGTGTTGCAGTCTAACCTGATCTGCATGCGCAAATATTACATTTCCATTTTTTCTATTATTATAGTGTTCTGTCCACTTTGCATTATGAATCTTGTTCCTTGTAGTTTAGATTCATTATTCTTTTTGTACCATACTTTTTCATTGGTGGCATAAGACATGGTCAGTAAGGCACTAATTTGTCTACCCATGAGGGCGGATGGGCTTTTCGAACTTCCAGCATGTGGTATTGTCCGATAACTTAGAAACATTTGCTCTCTTTTCTTTCTATTGTACACATATTTTCAATCCATTTTTTATAGTTTGCACCATCCTTCCTGCTAATTCATTTGATTGTGGATGGTAGTGAGGGTTATATGATTTGCATCCATTTTGTTCAATCATTGGCATAATTCCTCCTCACAGAACTCTGGGACATTATCAGATATTAGCATTTCCAGAATTCAATTTCTTGAAAATATGAACCTTAATTTTTGTTCTATTAAATTTTTCTAATTAATTCTTGTTGCTGAATAAATTCAACATACTTTTCTAGTAACAATTTTCCCAGTTGTAAATGCATCAGTCATTTGCCGATACTCCTTATTTTGAAGGCTGTTCACCAACTTCATTTGAATCCTCTTTGATTAACTGGTTTTCTGATCCCAGTTTCTCAAATTCACAATATTTAGCAGCCTGTTTTAAATGAAGAACATATTTGATAACGGGTTCATTCACTTTTTGAGAAATATTCATAAACTTATCTCTCTCTGCATTCACTATTAGTTGACTTATATCGACAAATGTAATTTCCACCAACTGTACAATTCCTGATAATTTTATAATGACCTCACAACCAGCAGTTGCCACCAAGTGGTCAGTTATTTGGTTTTCTTCTCCGATTGATTTTGAACCATTTCGCTTTTTTGTTCTACATTTAGCTGCCAGTATTCTAAGCCACGATTGTGCGTATTCATAATTATCAAATGATAGTTGTTCGTTCGTTTCGTTAGATCTCGGCGACGTCATTGTTGTATCGTGTTATCTACTCACCGGAAGTAGTATGCACTCTACTGTCTCATGGGTAATAATCGTAGCTACGTATAGCCTTTTTGACTTCATATATAAATAAGTCACCTCTGAAAAACAATGTGAGGATGTCATATTCAGTGTCGTCAAACTTGTTCAATATGCAGAATTTCTTGAAGGCTTTGACAATGATAGCGGCGCCCAACTCTTCCCAGGTGTTGACAATCCACTTGCAGGTGTCTTCAAGGTCTGATTTTCTTATTTTGTATGATTTATTTCCCTTTGTTGCCATATGCCATTAGAGAGATATTATCTTTCTGATAAACAAATAAATCCAATTTAACCTGATTTTGTCTGTTTTGAGTCATGGAAAAATTAGTTTGAATTCTAAACTAAAGTGTAAGATGCAGACTTTGGGACATGATTTTGGATGGAAAAAACTGCGTCTTAGACACACAGTATTTATATTTAAAATTATAAGACGGTAATATAAAATAATTAAAAGGTGAAAATAGAATAATTAAAAATAATACAATATATACAAAGTTTGTTCATTGAGGAGAGAAAAATATGAATTAAATAAATGATTAATAGAAGTCGGTAAATATTATGACAGTTTAAGTTGTTTTATTATCCTTATTTTTAAAAGAAGTGTTAAAAAATATTATGAATATTTCTTTGAATGGTGCGTAGTCATCACTGACTGAGGTGTTGTCATGGTAACAAGAGAATTCTGATCAGGTGTTTAAAGAACCAATCGGCTGTCATCGACAGGTGATCCACGTCCAGTTGCTGACTGGGATTTTGCTGTGTGTTTCTCTATTGCCCCCCCCCCCAAATCGGTGTATATATAGTTATCCTGATCATGTGATTGGCTTCAAATGAAAGCTTTTCAGTTTACGCGGGACAGCACCCAGTGACCAGTTCATTTGGAGTTCAAACATACGGACGTAGTCTAAACCATAGCATGTGACTGTACTGTCCAATCAAATTCTAGAAACCACTTATTTAATTTTGGATCCTATTTTTTACTGATTTGTACAAGTTTTTGTTTTAGTGATGCTAATCCTATTTAGGTGAGAGTGTTTCTTACTTATTTGTGTTTCAACTATTGGTTGTAAAATATAGGATTTTATATCGTATATAATTTTTTATACTTTTAATGATAATATAAAAAATAAAATTTATTCCAGTAAGTTTCAAAGCGTATATGGAATAAAAAAATCATATTTTTTAACTGTTGGTTATATTAGATTGTTTATTTTTAAGCATAAACAATATCTATTTCTATATTGTAGTTTTTTTGATTATTCATACATTTTACAATTTTACACACCTGTTGTGATAACAGTAGAAGACTACTATTATTGACCTAGGACCTTAATGACAGCTCATTGCTTACAGTGCGTAGATAAATGTCACTTTCACTATGTTTTAAACAAAAATTAAGCATTAATTTTACAAAATCCAGTTAATTAATTCTTAAATTTACTTTGAAACAAATCTCTAAGACAAATATTTGATTTTTTAAGAGATTTTGTAGAGGGCCTGTGGCTGTTAAGTTGTTGATAGAAGTCAGATGTAGAAGAAACGCATGTAAGGTTCAGATACTCCTGCTCGCCGGGCCCAACTACATAAAAAGGTTGGACTTTGATTAAGTCCAAAGAAGAAGGCAAAGAAAGCAAACAAAACACAAGACCGATAATATATGTATATACAAATATATATTAATAACAAGTTACAATACATGGAAACAGTACAAAGGATGAAGTGTATGGGAATATTCTGTATGTGCGTGCGTGTGTGAATATTCTGTATATGCGTGTTTGTGTATTGTGCTTAGCGTGTTTCCACGCTATCCCTTGTTAGCGCCTACATTTCGAGGTTGTAAGCTGAAAGCCTGATGAAAATGAGATTTACCTCAAGGTGTCGGCGCACAGACCTGAAGGAAAAAAGAGATAGAGGCGAAGGGTCAGCGGCTATTTATAGCCAGGGAAGAGAGACCCCTGGTGAAAGGGTTAATGTACTAAAGGAGGAGTTAACTCCGACAATATCAGTGTTTCTAAACCATTTATCCATGTATCCCATTTTTGATGTGAAAAACATTTCTGGCCCACATAAGCACAAATAGAAATTCTATTTAACTGGAAATATATTTTTTTTATTTACAATATAAATGTTTACTTTACTTATAAAAGCATTTTTTACATTGATTTGAGCACCACGTCCAAACGATGAAAGACTTGACACTATATTGGTGATCTGATAACCCAAATCAATTGCTTCTTTAAAAAAAAAAAAAACTATTGTTTTTCCGGTTTTTGAAATTTGTACTGGATTTGGATTAAATTGCCTCAATTGGATTGAATTTGGAGTCCATAAAATTAATTAGGAAACTAAATAGTTTTCCTTTAATTTTAAAAGACTGAGTAGGAATTTAATAGCTTAAGAAAAAAAAAAAAAGATTTTCCTAAAATTGTTAATATATAAAAATTTATATATCATTTTCACATTGGTAATATAAAAATGCAATTAAGATTTATTTAATTAAGCTAATTAGGATTGTAATTTAATTTAAAATATTGGGTTTGCGTTTAATAAATTTAAATTTGATATGTAGAATTTTTAAAATAAAGATGCATAAAACTAACCTGGAAATAATATTTTAAGTTAAATTCATGCTGCAAAAAATAGAAAACAGATGGAACTTGTTTTATAAATTTAATCAATTTTATAAATTTAATAAATAATAAAGAAAAAAATATTGTGCGATTCTTTGGTCATAAGAAAAAAATCATTGTTTTATTAAATGTCATTTTTTTTTAAATTTCTTCCTTGTCTACAAGATTCTATGATCTATTTCGCAATATTTCCTTCAGGTATGATGAATCGAAACATGAGTACAGAACGAAGTCACATTTTTATCTAATATAATTAGTTTTTTGTGTGTTTTTTAATATTGTATGAAAAGCAACTGGCGCGAGAATCTTGGAGAGTGACCTCCCCTTGAGGCTGACTCTTCCTTTCATAGCAAGCATGGCAGAACAGGAGGAGATCTCTCAGCAAGATAAGGAAGAGGAGGAAACACCTTCACATCGACCACAATTCGGTAACAGAACTCTAACAGACCCCAACAACGTATTTCAACACAATGCTTGGTAAGTGATAAATACTGGTTAAAAAAAAAAGATTGTCGCAACTGTAATCATTCTAAAAAAGTCACGATCACTTGTGGAATACGATGTAGTTACATTATGGGGGATCGGTTTTGTTAAAAGTTAGCATTAAAAAATGAACCCTGACTTTATGGCCAATCTGTCTTGATCGATCACATAATTTATGTATTTCTTCTCTCTCTCTCTGTCCGATGTGTATTCTTCAATGTTTTCCAGGATTTTTCTTTTTAATGAGAAACAATTAAATCTGAAGTATGACGAAATATTTTCTTTTTTCTTTGCCTTCCAGTGTTGAATATCCATTTTTTTTTTTCGTCTAGAACTCCTTTTTTTTTTCTAACCCTAATTGAAATTACCAAGAAAATAATTAAATCACCATACCATACAGATTGTGATTTTTATTAAGGCTAATTCTTTTAACTTGTGTTGACATCTGTTATATTTCAACAATTCCAAAATTTTACGCTGTCTCTTTTATTACATTCATTTATAAAAAATAAAACCGCTTTTTTCATGTTCCGTAAGTACAAAAAAAAACCTATTGGTGCACGGCAGGGTAAAAATAAAAAAAAATGGTTCAGGGCGAAAAACAAATTCAACAGACCGAGTTCTAATTTCATCTGAAGCAACTATTCATTTTTTTATTTTTAACCTTTCTTAGGAAAGGCATGAATCCACATCCCCCTGCATTATGTCATATCGACAAATAATTCGACCAAAAAATATCTTGCCGGCGGTTAACGGAGAATATGGGTAGGGAATACTTAAGCAGATAAATCACTCTCCCATAACTACAGACAGCTAAAGGCTGTTATGTTCCCTTGTCAACCTTGACAGGAGCAATATAGCATGTGTGCATATGATAAAAAACAGTAAAACTTGATTAATCAAAAGTCAAAACAAAATCGAATATTTTTTTAAGGACACGTGGGGACGTCATTTTTTTTATTATTTTTTTTACTCACCTCACTTAGTAAATAAGTAAAATCAATTAATTTGAAATTTAGTAAAATCTGAATTTGAATAAAATTTTTAATTTTAAAATTTCAGTTAAATTTCATATTTCGGAATCTTTTTTTTTTTTCTTCTTTTTTTGTGTGTTTCATTGGTTGTAAAATATAGGATTTTATAACTTTTTTTATACTTTTAAATGATAGTATAAAAAATAAAAATTTATTCCACTAAGTTTCAAAGAGTATATGGAATAAAAAAAATTCTATTCTTTTTTAACTATTGGTTATAAGATCTTTTTTTTGGGGGGCTGATTTTAGAATTTTTTTTTTTTTTTTTTTTTTTTTTTTTTTTAGCATTAAATACAAAATTTCCAGGCATTATCACCCAACACTTCATTTTATTTTTGTTTGTGCAATTTTGTTATTTTTTTTTTTTTTTCATCCAGGGATAAACAAACCAATTGAAACAACTTCAATCCTTGCTGCTTGTTCTATACTAGAATAGTCTTAAGCCAGACCAATATGAAAAGTAAAATGCAGGGAGCAATGGTTAATGAGCTAGTTTCTCAAACCCTTATTACGGTCTTCTTCTACATGCCGTGTCCATTCAGGACGTTGGCAATTATAACTCTCCACAATTTCCTATCCTTTGTAGCACTTAATTTTGTTCTCTTGTTATCTCTCCTAAACCCTGTTCAGCCATCCATTTACACAAGTTTACTAGGTAGGATGTGCAATGTTTTCATCTGTCCCTCTTGCATTCAGTCTGTCCCTGTGAGTATCAAATTTTCCAAGCTCTCTTTCCTTATTATGCAACTCTCACTTTCTTATGTTAAGTATAAGTGCCCTTTGTGTTTCAATTTTCTCAAAAACTTTACAACTGCTTACATGTTCGGTCCATGATATTCTCAACATCCTTCTGTAGAACCACATTTCTGTTTCTTCAAATCTTGTTTTCATCTGTGAAGAGATTGTCCAATATTCACTGCCATATAGAAGGACTGATATTATGTAACAGTTCAGTACTTGTTTCTTTGTTTCTAATGAAATTTTCCTGTTTCTTAATACTTTGCTTAGCTTTTGGGATGCAACTTTGGCTATTCCAATGCACCTTCGGATTTCAGTGTCACACTTTCCTTCCTCTGTTAAAACACTTCCCAGATATTTAAATTGTAGTACCTTTTTAATTTTGGTATCACCAATTTGTAATTTGCATTTTGGGCCCACCCCCTTTTGCTAACGACCATGCATTCTGTCATTTTGTAATTTCCTTTCCATGTCCGCTATCAACATGTCATCTGCATATTTTATGTTAAGATCGTGGCCACCAATTATGAATCTTGGTGGGATTTCTAATTCTCCCCAAATCACTTCACTGTTTGGGTTGAATAATTATTTTAATTTTATTTCTGATACCCAAGTTTATTCGTTTTGGTTTTATTTTCAAATTGTTATATTCCGTGCTAATAGGAATATATACTTGACAAACACAGTGGATAAAATAAGTAAAGGTTTATTGTAAAAACCAGTACAATAAGACTAAAGGTAACAGTTATGCACAGGGTCGTTGCAAGTCAATCCAGTAGTGAGTGCTATTATTGGAAGGTTGGTAGTTCTCGCATAAGTCTGAGTCATACTCAGCAGATCCCAGCTAGTCTCTGTAGTCCGTTGACTTACCGCTACTTATAAGTTGTTACTAATGAGGGTGACAGGTTAATCCATTTCATCACAAATCAAAAAGAATATGAAGCTAGTTCAAAAAAAGTTAAGGCATCTGCAAGGGACATAAATCTGTGTTTGGTATGAAGAAATCATTTGAAATACTACACTTGATAATACTCAAATTTTATTATTTTTAAATATACGTGAATATAAAATGAATCAAATAGGTGTTTGATTTTGACATGTCAACCTTTGTTGGGTTCATATTGAATTTAGTATGTGGCACCTAGTGAGGATCAAACTCGGTAGACATGAGCAATCAGATTAGCTTCGCTGCCCATCACCCAATACTAAGATACCAAAGAATCATAACAGAATGCATGTGTAAACTGAGAAATTATTTTGTGTTAAAAAAAAAATAAATAAAAATTTAGATTTTTTTATTTTTTTTTAATTGTAAAAATCTATTTTATTCATAAAATTAAATAAATAATTTAAAATTAAAATTATTGCATTCGCCAGATAAACCTTTTCCGATGGTATAGAAGTTAGTGTTTTGTAAGAGAAACTGATGAGCTGAGTTGAAAATTTCAGTTGAGTCTCTTATGTTCACTTTTGCACAAATAGCCTTGGGAAAAGGAAGAACCCACCTCTTCTTTCCCACCCTCAGTTATGAGTTAAATAGCAGAACATACTGGGCAACCAGTCTAAGAGAAAGACAACTCTAAAGTCAAAACCTGTTGTTGGAATAATGGACAGGTAGTAGCTGTTTAGCCTAAGTTGGCAACCAGTCTATAAAATGGTGACTCGATTAAAAACAACCACCACCCTCACCCTCGCTCCCACAGCCTGGGCAACTCATGTGGATGAGCCATCCAATAAAAACGCACAATGAGTAAAATACTTGAGTCATGTGAGTTGCACAATCAAATTTCACCTGAGACTGCTTGTTTTTTACCTCCGCTAATACTAAAGGCATGAATCCGCTTTTTCCTGGGCTTTGTTTCATTGCCAGATATATATTGATAAAAATGTCCTGTTCCTTGTATGCCACAAGGGTAGACAGAGAAAAGACTGACTGAATGAGAAATTTGATAAGCAATTCTCATCTAACTAGCAGTAGTATCAGAAGGCTGTTAGTCTCATGATCAACCTTAACATCGGATAATTGGAAGAATAAGATGCAAGTTCAAAGGCATGAGTCCACTATTCCTTGTGCTTTGTTTTATTGCCAGACAAAAATGTCCTCTTCCTTGTATGCCACAGGGGTTGACAATGAGAGAGAAAAAAACTGGCTGAGTGAAGAGTTGGAGAAACCACTCTCCTATAATTACCTACCTGCCTTGGCAGTAACATCAAAATGCTGTTAGCTTCATAGTCAACCTTGACATCAGATAATTAGAAGAATAAGATGCAAGTTCAATATTGTGGGTGGTGGGTAAACGTAAGAAAAATGATTTTTTTTTTTTTTTTTTTTTTTTTGCTTGTTTGATTCTTTAGTTATATATTCCAAACCTCTGTCTTTCAGAAATGGCCTTACACATTGTTGTTGGTCGTATGTCCTTGTGTCAGGCCTGGCGCTGTGTGTGTCGGGGTCCGGGCAGGAGACAATCCCCTCTCCTCGTCCCTTTTGTTTGCCAACAGCTTTCTTCTGGCTGCAGGCCACAACGTCCGAGTGGCGGCGCCAGACCTCTCACAGACCCTCAAATTGTCTTTGACCACAACAACTGGTAAGGATAATATTTGCTATGCACTCTCTTTTCCTTTTTTTTTTTTTTTTTTTCGTTTTTTTTTTTTTGCCCCCTCCCACAAGGCACTTACATCTTCCGTTTTGTTTTTAATATATCAACTGTGGCTCCTCACTATGCCAATAGTGCAGGCAGTTCAAATATCTCGCTTCATCTTTGTGCAATAGAGAATTGCCAATATTGTCTTTTCTACAGAATGGAAAGCAAGCATTTAAAAAAAAAAAAACATTTATTTTTCTTAAGAAAACTTAAATAATTACAACAAAATTTTCAATTTCATTTCAGTATAGTAACACCTAAGAAAAAAAGTCCTTTTTTTTTTTTTTTTTTTTTTCTTTTATAATAGGTTTCACCCCAAGCAAGGCAGTAAAGCTACTAAGACACAACAAGTTACTGTGCCAGCTTGTCGCCATGTACAATCTGAAAGTGCCACACTCCTCTTCAAAGACAACAAAGTAAATGAATTTGAATTATCCTTCTTTATAGGGGAAGGAAATTAGGGGGATCAATTTTAATAAGAATAGAAAATCGATCCCCCACTTTAAGTCCAGTAGAAATGCATTAATATTTAATGCGAATATACCTTGAATATTTTTCCAACATTGGTTGGTTGATAACAACTGTGAAAATGTATAATAAAATCAATTTATTGCATAAGTACAATAGAAAAACGATCCCCCACTTTATGTCCAGCAGAAATTTATATTTGCATTAATACATGTTGAAATTATTTTACAACATTGGTTGGTTAATACCAATTTAATTTTGAAAACATTGACTTGTATAATAAAATTTGACTAGTAATTCAAGGGGGATCAATATATTACATTATAACAATAGAAAATCGATCACCCACTTAATGTCCAGCAGAAACTTATATTAATATTTAACACAAATATACTTTGAAAATTTTTCCAAACTTTAACCAATTTAATTTTGAAAACATGGACTTGCATAATAAAATCTGATTGTGTATAGATTTTTCTTTATCACACTTTTCACAGAACGAATTCTATTTTACCTACCTCCCCAATGTGACAGAATTTAACCAAACACATGGTTGGATTAATGTGGGAATGCCTACCATATTTTCTTGTGTGTAATATGCAAAATTTCAAACAGAAATTGAAAGCGAAAAAGTAAGTTGTATTATACACAAGTACATGTTTTCAGAAATTTTTACTTAGATCAAAAATTTATTTCAAGCAGCAAGTTTGCAAATACACTGACCACAAGATATAATAAAACGCAAAGTAGGCAAGTGTTGATAACAGTTGCTTAAAAAAGGTATTTGATGTATCGACAATATTTGTTCTTTGAGAATTTGTGTAATTGAAAGTCTTTTGTCTCAAAGACAGGAAATTCACTGAGATTGATTAAAAATTAACAAAAGAAATACTTAAGATCTTTAATGTTTTGTAAGATTTTCTCTTTTCATTCTTAATGAAAGACAATATATTTTTATCTTCATAGTTTATTAATCTATAGAAATTTAATAAAGTTGTATCAAACAGAAAATTATGATAGATTAATTAACACCTGAAAATGTATGACCAGGTGTGTCTAATTAGAACATTTTCCTGAAAATAAGTTTTAAAACAGAAATCAGGAAAATAAAACCCACAATTGCTAAACATCCTGTTCATTTGTGATATTGTAAAAAGTTAAATATTTTAGTGAAATATATATATATGGCAAATGTTTCGAAAATGTTTGAAATGGATGGCAAGGGAAATCTATAGAAACATACAGCAATTCCAAAGAGTGCATAATCTTCTTGAATCCATCTTTAGCACTCAGAATAATATTCCATCCAGACTTCTGCAAATGCTTATATCAACGATACAAAGTGAATTATTGAAGTTATTCACAGTGTCAGAGCTGCAACTCACTACCGAGACATCTTGTTAGATATTTTCTACTCTGTTTTACATTTTTATTTTTTTTAGCTATGATCTTGAACTTTTGACTAGCTAATATTTTACCTAATTTTTCAGTATTAAAATTTTTCCTATTAAATGCTAAAAAAGTTTTTAAGATTTCCTCCTTTTTTTTTTTTTTTTTTTTTTCATTTTGTGGAGCTCTCCTCAAATAAGTATTTGAGTCTAATAACGCAAAAGGTTTTTTTTTTTCTTTATTTTCATTGGCCTTAAGATTTTGGCCAGCAGTGTATATAGAACTATAATAAAGTCATATCAAACAGAAAAGTATGATAGATTCATTAACACCTTAAAATGTATTACCAGGTATGTAGAGTTAGCACCTTTCCCTCCAAAATAAGTTTTGAAACAGAAATTAGAAACTGAAACACGCAATTGCTAAACATCCAGTTTGTTTCTTTTCTTTAATATTGTGAAAATTTAAATATTTTAATGAAATGTACAACATGGATGATATGGTACAATTTTTCAAAAAGAAATTTACATTGGAATGGCCGTATAATGGTCATATTATACTCATGGATGTAATTCCATTTTTAGCTTCAGGAACATGGGGACATATTCATGAAAAAATAGGGTAAGAAAATCTGGCATTGTGTATATATTTTTGCTTGTAACCCTTTTCACAGAACAAACAGATGCTACACTTTGATCTATTTTTATCTACCTCTGGCAGGATGTAACGCATGTTTTTTTTTTTTTTTTTTTTTTTTTTTTTTTTTTTTTTTTTTTTTTTCGGGGGGGTATCAGCCCCTACCCCAAGCAAGGCAATAAAGCCACAAAGATACAAGATTACTGAGCATTAGAGAATACAAGAAAAATATACTATTAAGGAGAGAAGACAATAAAAGAACAAGAATTAAGAAGACAAAAGATAACAATTGATATTGCATTTAAATTTTTTAAAATCAAAGTTGACTAAGAAGCTAGAAGACAGTTCCACAAGTGAGAAGTATGACAGAAGAAACTGTTAGTATAGAACTTCCGCTTATATCTAACCATTTCAACTGCAAAATGATGAGACCTTGCTGCCAATCTAGTACTGTACTTAAATTCATAAAGTCTAAATACCATACAGGAAAGTTCATCAAAACAATTATCACAAAAATATTTATAGAAAATGCACAAAACAAGCTGGAATGATCTATTCTGACATGTCTCTAATTTGCATTCGAATTCATTGTATTTATTTTCAAGTTTTCTAGTTGAATTTTTCACCTATATTGCATATGATCCATTATTGTATATAATTAAGTTATAGTAAAATTTCTATTTTATAGGAAAACTACCTTATGAAAAGTGAGATGTAGTAGGGGGGGGCACGAGACCCAAGCATTGGTCCTGCCAATGTGTACATTTTATGATGCTTGAACTGAAATCCCAGATAACGGATCATCTTTAATGAGCAAGTGCTATAACCAAGTTGGCCATGAAATCTGACCATAGGCTCCTGTAACTGAATTGTACAAGATCCCAGTGTATAGGATACTGGTTCAAATCCTTCTACTTTAACATTTAATGGATAAAAGGAAGCAAAGTCTAACCTAAAATAATATTCTTTCTTGTCCCAGTGGATTAAAATGTTGGTTCAGGAATTTGGGAACATAATTGTGAGTTCAATCCCTAGGCTGTTTAGTGTGGAAATGGGGTAAGCAATAACTGAGCAGTACTAAAGAGATATCTTTAGACATGCTCAGCAGAACCAAAACAATCTAGATTAAATAATGAGTTCAATTCAAAATCCCCTGAAGGTTACCTGGATTGACAAGACCCTAATAAAGGCCAGGGGTTTCAATAATAAACATTGTGATAGTAACAACAAAGATGAGGACAATAGACTGCATGTAAATAATTTTTAAAAGTACTCATTTGAGAATATTGTAATAAAAAGCAAGGATAAAATGAATGGATGAAGTTAACTTGATAATGAACATTATTCTTCATCCTTCACACTACTTGAACAGTCAGAGACAATTCCAGCCTAGAAGGCTGTTATAAATGATTACATTAAAATGAAGGCAAGATGATCTCAAAATGGCATTACTTAAACTGAGTGGTTCACATAAAAAAAACAAAAAACATTGCAGCAATTCATGCATCTAAGAGTTTTCAAATACATTACAATGTTTGTATGAAATATGCAGAGTATCTCTGGATTATTTTTAATCAGCATTTCAATTTGCTCATCATCAACAACTGCACACATGCTAGGATGTTCTTGCACTTGCAGATCAAAATTTCAATTTTTGGATCTAATGAACCACTTACCATAATCTCAGCCATGGCACCATCACCATAAATGGCACATAACTCTTTTGCTGTTTGTACAGCGTTTTTTTCATTTCTGAAAACAAACAGCATCAAAAGACCAAATTGCATCTCATTTTTATTTTTAAAGTTAAAACATTTTAAAATTCACAGTCCACACAATGAAAGACACATTGAAATGTCATCTTTCAGAATAACTTTGAGTTGCACACAAAAACAGTTAGGGACAAAAGGGAAATAACTCTTTCGGAAAAAGGGAACAGTTGTCTGCCTTCAAGGAGAGAAAGCAATGTAACATGGCAACCAAATAAATCTGTTATTGTTTCTATATGTGCCTCCATTTTATCTCTGTCAATTTTTGTTTTTCTTGCTCCACGTTACACATGAAAAGCAAGTCATTAAAACAGACAATACAACAAACAGATCACATGCGTTACAGCCACCTACTGAAAAATACTACAAACTTTTGTTCCAACTTAGTATAATTAAAATACACTAATAAACCTAATTTTTAATACACACTTTATGTTAAAATATCTTGGTGATTAAATATATACAAGAATGTCATCAGATATATCACATCTTCACAACCAATAAAAACAAAAGTAAAGAATTTAAAATTAGAAATGTAACTCCACTTTATTTCACTTCCCCAAATTTTTAATGAAGTTAAATTGTGACTGTCTATATTTCTGAGATGAGGTATTACGTACACTGTTTACATTATTCAGATTATTGTCCACTACTTGGTTTCAGTGAGAAAATGAATGAAAGAAGAAAAAAATTGAAGTGTTTAACAGCTGTTTCAATGAAATGGAAAAAGTTATGCATTTCAAATCTTTTTGTTTGTACCCACTTCTGAAAATAATGACAAGCATTCATATTGATGATTGTTATTGCAGTATTTTGTTAGAATGGTTAAGCTCAAATATTTCAGGATGTGATAGGCGAATTTTTACAGATATTTTACTGTCGTAGAATTATCCATTAGCTTATTTGATTATTAACTGAAAAATTATGGTGAAATTTTCATGGGTATTTCTAGTGAAATTAAATGGACTTAAAGTCCAGAAGTTGTCGGTAATACTTAAAAAAAAAAAAAAACTGTTGTCCCAGTCTTTATCGTCATATTCACAATGTTTCAACCATTGTACACTCCAGCCTTCTTCAGGTGACATATGTTGGAATTTTGAACTGAACCCTTTATTTCGTCAACTGCAGTAGATTGTTCTAGTTCCACATACCATGCCTTTTCTGGATATAACAGTTTCAGTTATTTCCCTTTAGTAACTCAACTGTCTAAAGTTTTTGTTCACTTCTGCTGTGGCCAGGTATTGAACTCACAACTCTTTGGGTCAAGTCAATGAATTACTTCAGCCAATGCTTTTATCCACTGGACCATTCAGGGATATCACCTGAAGAAGGCCAGAGCATACAACAGTCAAAACATCATGAATATGACAATAAAGATGAAGATAACAGTCCAAACAAGGTAAATAGTTAAAATCAGAAATATAGACAGACTTTAAAAGAAATTTGTGAATGTAGTCATCTTGAAAGCCTTACACTCAAGCCAGTCTTGTACAAATTCTTGTGGCGATGAAGTAGCAGTAACTTTAGTCTCAATATAATAGTCAACTCCACTCTTCTATTTAAGAAAGACGTCATCGTTTGTCTTTCTTACTTTTGGGTCCAACACAGAAAAGTCATGAGTAAAATGTGTTCCCTGATTTTATGTAGGTCAGCAGAACATATCAACAATAAACTACATTCAACAGCAAGGCCTCTGATCGAGAGATTGGAGGCTTAATTGCTGTTTTTACCAGGTTCGCCCAGACTCGGGGTGGCAGCATCTGTCATCATCATCTTGCGGCCTCAGCCGAGATTGAACTCACCAATACTTTGATTGGTGTAGTTCATAATCTTGTCAAATAGCTGAATTCTTGATGCTTCGCTAGGGCTATCAAGGGTGTTTTTATCGTGACACCAACACTAAATGGATTGCCAACCAAGGCTCAGAGAGACTCCATTCACCCTCCTCTAAGAGCAGGTTTGAATTCAGAGTTTTCCTTCTCCTAGACCAGTTGCCATCCAAGGCTATAGAACCCAGTCTGTCCTGCTATTTACCCATAGCTGGAGGGAGAAGAAAGAGGATTCACACCTTTCCCAAGGGTGTTAGCACGTAAGTGAATGTAATGGATTCGACTGGAATTCGAACTCAGCTCTCCGATTGCTCAATCCAAGCCGCTATCCATTACTCCACCGTGCCTCCTTCAAGGGTCCCAGCTATGGGCAAATAGTGACCCCCCCCTCCTCAATAAAAACGAAACACTTTGAAAGTATAAAAATAAATTTTTATCTAAAACAGTTACCAACAATACCTCTTTATATTAAAATGATCAGTAACACATTTTATCTGTACTTGAAGGCATACAATTGCATTCAAAATATATTCAGTTGAAGCCATAAAATTGTTCAAAATATTTACATTTCAGTATTAAATAACTCATAGAGGTTTAGAAATGCTGCTAAACAAAATCAACCAACCAACATGAAAGAACTCTTTTGTGACATTAAACCATATAATATCCTACAATTTCTTACAGAAATCAAACTGTATTCCAAAATATAACTAGAAATCTACTACATAAACCACACGCTTATCACCGCCTCTAGTAATTATGTCCACACAAACATGCATATGCACAAAAGCTAAGCATCATCTACCATGTATTCAATTGTGAAAGCAGAATAACACATATCATATTTTTATTACTTTAAAGATCCCAAGAAAATTAAATTTCAGCACTAAATGACCCATAAGGAGTTGGTATGCCATTAAATCATATCAACACATTTTTGTAGATTACCCAGACTGATGTACACCTGATGAAGGCCAACAGTCGAAACGACGTGATAACAACACCAAAGATTAAAAGAGTAGCTCACATGTAAATGGTTTGCATGCAAAACTCAAGATATACTGTGGCCAATATTTTCAATTAATCTGGTCGAGTAGTGAGTTTGCTCCTAACTGAGTAAGACATACAAAAATTCATAGTGAAATAATCCAACAAGTGTTGACATGTCATAAGATCAGCCAATCACCAATATCTTCACTTTTTGCTTATTTTTCATTTTATTATTGCCTTTCTTCTTTGAATATCTTTTGACCATTAGACGACATAATTTAGTTAAGTGTCTAGATATGTTTCTGCCTTCTTCAGGGATAATGTTGTATGGGACGAAAGCCAAGAAAGTGAGGCTCGTAGGATCACCGAGGAACAAGCTGCTGATCTTGTCTCCTTTGAGAAACAAGGTAAGTCTGTTTTATTTATTTATTGCAATATATATTTTTTTATTACATCAAATGTTATTTTTAGTGGATACTTGTATTTGAGTAGAAACTCCATTTTCTTAAAACTGCGTTTATTTCACCTACCGGCCTGTGCACTTGAGAAAACTTTAAAAGAAATGTACCTCCCCGCTGGGCTTGAATCTATTCCTGTTGGACAGCACATTTTCTTTATTAAGTTTTGTTGAGTTCACAGGCCTGTAGATGAAATAAATATAGTTTTAAAAAAAATTTCATAATTTCTTATGTCTTATTTAAATGTTATATTTTAGTAGATACACTTATTTGAATAGATAACTCTGTTTTTTTTAAACAATGGAGATTACATCTAATGGCTTGTGCAGTGAAGAGTCTTAAAGAAAGTATATCCTTGTGGCGTTTTATTGATTAACTCATTCATTTTCTGTGGCTTTTCAGGTTATTCAAAGCCAGAAAATATTTTTAGATTGTAAGAATTTTTTTTTTTTTTTGGAAGACAGTAAGGGTTTAGTCTTACTAATTAACCCATAGCTGGAGGGAAAATAGGTGCATTCATACCTTTCCTTTCGGTATTTACATGTAACTGAATATAATAAACCCAGTGGCAATTAGAACTCAGTTACCTAATTAACAACTCTGAGCCATTGTCCATTACACCACCTACACATCCATGCTTACAGCACCTGGTATTCCCAAGTGGTCACCTATCTAGGTACTGACCAGGCTTGATGTTCCTTAACTTCAGTTATTGTAATTGTACAGGAACCAGTATTTCAATGTAATGTGGGATGTAAACCTTCTTTTATATATATATATATATATATATATATATATATTACACGCACATATATAAAGAGGATATAAAAGTACCTCAGTTGGTGTCCAGTCCTGTTGTAGACCCACTGGAAGCGTTGGACCTCTTAGCTTTCTTTAATGTATCCACGTAGGAAAAGGAAAACGCTAACATCTGTGCCTTGATAACATCCAATGAATTATTCTTTTTGGGGAACATGCTGTTATTGCTTAGAGTGTGGTGGTTGACTTGGTGCAACAGCTTTCTCCATTTTAAAGATTTAGTGCACAGGCATTGCTTGATAGCATAAATTGAAATCTTATGATGGTCAAACTCTAGGAGAAGGAAAATGGTAATGAACTTTTCACTTCCGATTTCTATACTAATCATTTTTCCTGCTTTTGGATTTGTAATACACACTTTTTCACCACCTTTGTTGTTGTGGACATTTGTTAACAGATTCTGGAAGATATAAAATCTGAATTAAGATGTAAAATAGTTGCTTTCTCACTACTATAGTTCCACCAATTAAACAAAGCACTTGAGGACAATTTTACTTTGTAATCCAATCAACTACACTACACTTATTATTATTATTATTATTATTATTATTATTATTATTATGTAGTCTTTACATATTGTAGCTCCTTCACACATCAGACTTTGTGGGACATACATACTTAGCTTTATATATAAACCTTTATTAATACTATACTCCTTCTGGACATAAGGTGATCATAACTATTTAAAGATTCCTTTTCTTTATCATCTATGAATTGTCATGACATTTTGCAAATTATGGTAGAGTTGTTTCCCATTGCTTTCTCCATCGTTTTGAATTCAGTGTAGTCTTTCTAGATTGGCTACAACCCAAGGTTAGAGATCCTGTATACCCTGCTATTTAGCCTGGTATTCCCAAGTGGTCACCTATCTAGGTACCCTGCTATTTAGCCTTTAGCTTGCTGGAGGTGAAAACTGTCGCTGTAGAATTCCCTCCCTTTGCATGCTGCAGAGAGAGAGAATTCTACAGCAACAATTTTCGTCTCCAGCATGCTAAAGGTTAATCTATAGCTGGGATAAAATTAAATGGGTTCATGCTTTCCCATGGGCATTGGAGTAAATTGAACTGGGCTAGAACTTGAATTTGGCTTGCCAATTCCATTTTCTTTCAATAACCATTGTGCTACTTGCATATCCCAATACTGGTTGTAACATGAAACAGCAACGTACTTTACCAGTTTGGAAAGGCAAGAATTGTTTTTAATCTTAGCACTCTATTGGTGACTATGGCAAAGTGTTAGTCCTGCCAATGCAAATTGAATTTGAATTTCTTGGTTGTGTAGTCATATCCTTCTATGGCAACACCTGAAATAATCTTGACTGAAATTGAGAGCCAGGCTACTGCAATTTCAAATATATAGAACTAATATATAAAACACTATATTTTGAGGGGATTCCATATACAGTAAAAGGGGAAGTAATATTTATAAATGATGCAGAGTTCTAAATTTTAAGATCTAAAATATTTTATTTTATTTTTTCAGTTGAATACGAAGAGAAGGCATATGAATTTTGGGACAGTTTTTACAAAACACACCAGGACAAATTCTTCAAAGACCGCCATTGGCTTTTCACAGAATTTCCTGAATTGGCCCCCTATGCTCACAGCACCACTCTCACCCAACTTTCCAATTCTCATTCCGGTTCTGAGGACGAAGTCGAAGAGGAAGAAGAAGACAGTGATGAATTACTGGATGAAGAAGAAAAAAATGATGATGATGACTCAACAACTAATGCAGGCATTCCAGAAATTGCGGTGATCCCACCAACTTCACCTCTTGAAAACCATGACCCTGATGAAAGCTTCCATATATTTGAGGTAAGTAGTCAATATTCATGGACATGCATTGTGGTGTAATAGATAGCAACTCGGAATGAGAAATCAAAGAGCCAAGTTCAAATTCCAGTCGGGTTTGTTGGATTCACGTACATGCAAATACTCTTGAGAAAGGTATGAATCCATCTCTTCTCCCACCAGCTATGGGTTGAATAGCAGGACAGACTGGGTTCTTAAGCCTTGATTGGCAACCAGTTTACAGCAAAAATAAATGGCAGCCTACTGCAGGAAATCTTCTGCCTAGTCATTCATGAATCAAAAGAAACCTGATCACCCAAGTGTCTATGTCACATATGCACTTAACTGAGTGAACCAGTATTCATGGCAACCTCCTTATTTTTGTTGCCTATTTTCACAGACTAAAGTGACCTGTTGGTATTATTGCAAATGTTTCATGATCAACTCTCCATCAAAGAAAATTAATTCCATTTATTCAGGCAAAGTCACCTTGAAAATAAAATTAAGCTGGATTCTGAACCTTCCGACCGTTGGTTCTTTTTTTGTTAACAAAAAGTTTGTCCATTTTTCTTTAATTACAAGCTCTCGGATTTTAAATAACCTTAACAAACTATACAGTTTCTGAAAACTTGTGGTTTGTATTTTCACCCCCCCCCAAATTATGCAAATTAGATCACATTAGTTAATTAAATATTCAATATTAGATCACATTAGTTCATTAAATATTCAAAATGGCAACTACATTTCTGATTCAAAACTGGAATTTTAAACTTTGGGTTTGTCTCCCTTACTTAAGTTTTAAGTCACATAAATTTCTCAGGATTGAGGTGAAGATTGTTGACCAAAAAAATTTCTTCATTTTTTTCTCTTTCTCTTTCTTTTTCTTCTTTTTTCCTCTTCTTTTTATTTTTATTTTTATTTTTCTTTCTTTTTTCTTTTTTCTTTTTTTTTTTTTCTTCTTTTTTTTCTTCTTTTTTTTTTTTTCTTTTTCCTCTTTTTTTTTTTTTTTTTTTTTTTTTTCCTCTTCTTTTTATTTTTCTTTCTTTTTTCCTCTTCTTTTTATTTTTCTTTCTTTTTTCCTCTTCTTTTTATTTTTCTTTCTTTTTTCCTCTTCTTTTTATTTTTCTTTCTTTTTTCCTCTTCTTTTTATTTTTCTTTCTTTTTTCCTCTTCTTTTTATTTTTCTTTCTTTTTTTTTCCTCTTTCTTTTTTATTTTCTTTCTTTTTTTCCTCTTTTATTTTTTTTTTTTCTTTCTTTCTTTTTTCCTCTTCTTTTTATTTTTCTTTCTTTTTTCCTCTTCTTTTTATTTTTCTTTCTTTTTTTTCTTTTTATTTTTTTCCTCTTCTCTTTTTATTTTTTTTCTTTTTTTTTCCTCTTCTTTTTTTTATTTTTCTTTCTTTTTCCTCTTCTTTTTTTCTTTTTTTTTTTTTCTTTTTTTTTTTCCTCTTCTTTTTATTTTTCTTTCTTTTTTCCTCTTCTTTTTATTTTTCTTTCTTTTTTCCTCTTCTTTTTATTTTTCTTTCTTTTTTCCTCTTCTTTTTATTTTTCTTTCTTTTTTCCTCTTCTTTTTATTTTTCTTTCTTTTTTTTTTTTTTCTTCTTTTATTTTTCTTTTTCCTCTTCTTTTATTTTCTTTCTTTTTTCCTCTTCTTTTTTTTTTTTTTTTTTCTTTCTTTTTTTTTTCCTTTTTTTTTTCTTTTTTCCTCTTCTTTTTATTTTTCTTTTTTCTTTTTACTTCTCTATTTTTTCCTCTTTCCTTCTTTTTACTTCTCTATTTTTTCCTCTTTCCTTCTTTTTACTTCTCTATTTTTTCCTCTTTTCTTTCTCCTCTTTTTTCCATTTCATTTTTCTTTCTTTTTTTTTTCCCTCTTCCTTTTTTTTCCCATTTCTTCTTCTTTTTTCCCTATATTTATATATATTTTTTAATTCTATCATTGTTTACTCTGACTGACTTCACAAGTCATTTGTGATGTAGGCAATACAGTATTTCCTACTTAATTATTCAGACCATTATCCTCATCTTCATTGCTGTATTCACAATGTTTTGGCCATTGTACTCTCCAGCCTTCTTCAAGTGATTGGAATTTTGAATCGAACCCTTTATTTCATCCACCAGTGTAGATTGTTCTAGTTGCACGTGCCATGCCTCTTCCAGGTGTCTCAGTTATTTCCCTTTAACTCAACTCTCCAAGTTTGGTTCACCACAGCTGTAGTCTGGTATTGAACTCACAACTCTTTGGGTCTAGTCACTGGATCTAACCAACGTCTTTATCCACTGTCTAAATAATCTAAATAATCATAAAACCTCATCTCAGAGATACAGACAGACAGTATTTCCTGTCCTTATCATTTAATGTTTATAAATATGTTTTTTTAATGTCTCTTCATAATATGTTACAGACACCACACTAGCTTAATCTGGGCCTGGATTAAATCTTGGCATATAGATTACTTTTATAAATATTTCAGAACAAATTAAAACATATTTAAAAGAATATGAGATAAAACAAGTCATCATGTTGCTGCAAATTTATTTATAAACAATTTCCAAAGACAAGTCTAGAATAATTACACAGGATATGCTAACATAGACTTTCCTCACATGTCAGTTGTTGCAAAAAACTATATAGTTAAACATCCCTCATTACATGTTAGCAAAATTTTTTAGAAAGGACTGCAAGATCTCAGTTGCATAAAGTTACTAAAAATAAATTAAATCAGCTTCAGTCACTTTTCCACTGCCATAACATAAACTTCTGTGCTGTCTTTATAAATATTTTCATGGCAATTGTTCTGATGAACATGTAAATATTTATTGGGGTTTAATTTTTAAAAACAGAATTGTACATATAGGAACTAGTTAGGACTTCATAGAGACTTGAGGTATTATGGTGACTGTAGTGAAAATGGTAAGAAAGAATGTGTTGTTTTGGTGTAATGAATACTGTGGTATGTTTAGATCAGCAATTGTGGCTAGCTAGGTTTAATTATAAGACAGATTGAAAAACAGCCTTCCTCTACCCTCCTTGGATTCTCAAAATAAATATTACTTTCCTCTATGTTACTTAGACTATGAATTTGAGTGCAGTACTAGATTGGCGACAAGGTCTCATCATTTTATAATCAAAATGCCAAGATGTAACTGTAAATTCTGTGCTAAGTTTCTTTTCTCACACTTCTCACTTGTAGAACTCTCTTCCAGATTCTTGCTTCTCTGTCAAGTTTGATCTTCAAAAATTTAAATGCATTGTCAATCATTATCTTCTGCCTTCTTAATTCCTTTTCTGTTGTTGTTCTTTCTTTTTAATAGCATTTTTTTTTCTCTAATGCTAGCTTCTCTGTGCCTTTTCTATGAACATTCCTCTTTGGTACTTTGATTTTGCAAATTTAAGCATAGATTGGTAGCAAGTTTTCATCCCTTTACAGTTTAAATTGCTAGATGGAATCGTAAGTTCTATGCTAACAGTTTCTTCTCTTGCACTTCTTGCTTATGGAACTCTCTTCTGGATTCTTGCTTTCCAGTCAAGTTTGATCTTCAAGAATTTAAGTGCAATGCCAATCAATATCTTTTGTCGTCTTAATTCCTCTTCAATTATTGTTCTCACTCCTTAATATTTTTTTCCTCATATTCTCTCACACTCAGTAGACACTTGCATTTTAGTGGTTTTATTGCCTTGCTTTGAGTGAACTGATGAAAATAAATAGATAGAAGCTGATAATTAGAGAGAGAGCAATTGCCCAACCTTCTTGCTGGAATTAAAGTGTAGTATCTGTTGTTCAACTCTCTGAAGTTTCTGTCTTCAGGTAGTTCCTGGAGAAGCTTTTAGGGATGCCTGACCCCAGAGATTCTGTCACAGGCAGAGATAGCTTCTTTCTTTTTTTTTCTTCTTCATAACTGCATATTCTTACTTCCTTTGCAGGTCGGTTGTGGTGCTGGCAATACAGTATTTCCTGTTCTTAAGACTAATACGTAAGTATTAACCTTTGTCTTTTAAATTGATTTAACTAAAATTATCAAAAGTTGAAGCTTACAATATCTGGTTGCAAAAAATATTTCCTTAAACCCCGCTCATTATATGATAGAAAAAAGCTCATTGGATAAAAGTGTTGGTTGAAGTCATCCAGTGACTTGTGAGTTCAATACCTGGCCGCACCAGCTGTGAACAAAAACTTGGAGAGTTGAGTTACTAAACACAGATAACTGAAACTGAGATATCCAGAAAAGGCATGGCATGTGGAACTAGAACAATCTACCCCAGTGAACAAAATAAAGTCATGTTAGCGGTGAGGAATAAGATGTATATTTATTAATATATACTTAATAGTTCTGTTGTATTACATTGAGCACTATGTATACGTATATATATATATATATATATATATATATATATATATATATATATATAATGTGTGTGAGTTGGGATCAAGTATCACTTGGAATCTAACAGAATGATAAGATAAAGAACAAATAGGGAACGTTTATCAATCTAACATATTTTACTTTTATTAAAGCTTCAGCAGAGAGTGAGTTAAAAAAGTCAGAATTTTGGTGTTTTCAATTTTATTTTGTTTGATTCTCATTGGTCAGTCATATATCATGTGCCTTAAAACTGTAGATTATTCTAAATGTTGGGGGACATCAAATTATCTAAAAAACAAAATTTTAAATTTTTTGAGATCATGTGATGACTCCACCCACATATAGAATTATCTACGATGCGAAAATGTGGGTGTGAAATGCTACTGGACTCTGACAGTAATATTTCAATAATCAATGAAACTACATGGAAGGAAATTGGAAAGCAGTTATTAAAAAGGACTTCTAATGTCACAAATTCCAGTTTTTGGTGGGAAATGATGTTTTTTTTTGTTTTTTTTTTTAGAAACAATATCTTTTATCATAATAAGCATGAAAAAAACTAAAGCTTATGTATTAAAAAATGCTATGAATTTATTCAGAATGGACTGGATGGAACTATTTGAATTTTGGGATTTGCCAATAAACGTTTATTGTAAAAAAAAGTAAGTCAACAAGTGACCAGTTTAAAAAGTCAGGGCGAAAATCTTAAAGAAGAATTAAAAAATGTTTTCCAGATATCCTGTCAAATGAACTGGGATAGTGTTCAAAATTCAAAGCAGATTTTCAAGTAAAAAGAAGTTTGATGCCAGCATTTAAGCTGAAACAGCGTACTATTCACAGTATTAGAACAAGTTAATGAAGAGTGAGACAGACTTGAAAGAATTGGTATAATAGAAAAAATTAACCATTCAAAATGGGCTGCTTCAGTGGTGTATGTAAAGAAGAGAAATAATAAAATTTGTGTTTGCACGGATTTCTTGATGGGAATAAACAGTTGTTTAGAAAGCTATAACTACTCATTACCATGTCCAGAAGAAATAAGTAGGAGTAGTAGCAGTCGCTCAGGGAGTTGGTCAGTCAGTCGATATCGGATGACCGTTAGTCGGATATTAAAGTATCAGCCACCACAACTAGATTTCTCTGCGTTATTACCTATTATATCAAGTTCCTAACATTTTGTACGTCGAACCTATTTTAGGACCGACTTAGTGAAATACAAGCCTCCACTGTGAAACTACTCTACAACAAGAATGAACTCATTAATTTACAACTGAAAGTTTTTTTTTTACTTTTACTGTTAGAATTTTACCAGGAAATATTCTTTGTATTTTGCAGCAATCCAAACCTCATGATGTACTGTTGTGACTTCTCCAATAAAGCGATTGAACTCGTCAAGGTAAGTTTAAAAAAAAAATGTATTTTTATACTTTCATAGTGTTTTGTTCTTGTTTAAGGGGTTCACTATTTGCCCATATCTTGAACCCTAATAGGTCAGAGTGGGCCTGGGAGCAACAGCAATTAAAAAGTGGTTCCACACTCCTCAAAACCTCCAATCTCCTGATCAGAGGCCTTGCTGATGGATGTAAATGCACCAAATCAAAGTTTAGTATCTCCTCCATTCACAACCTGTCTTAACTGAAATCAGTCGTGCTTTTTCACTAAGAATATATACAATTACTCTGATGCTTGTGCATCTGACCATTAAACTTTTCTATCATATGTTAGGGATTCCTGTTGAAGTTTCCATTAAAAGTAGGTTTGTAGAGAGATATTAACCGTGCACCAAATCAGTTTTTAATTCACATGTCTCTTGATTAATGTTGCTTGTCTAAAACACAAGACACTTGCTTTTTTTATTTACCAAAGTTTGGCTTTCTCAACAGGAACACCCCGATTTTGAACCATCACGTTGCCATCCATTTGTGTGTGATATCACTAATGAAAATTCCCCGGTGCCATTTGAAGAAAACAGCTTGGATATCATTATTATGATATTTGTTCTCAACGCAATCAGTCCACACAGGTAAGACTTTAATCTAGAATTAATTTCACTGAATTTATTGTCAGATAGCTTCTCATCTAACTGTCTGGTCACTTTTCGTTTAAACAAAGTCACTATCAAGACACTGTCCAGCTAACTGACGTCACTGTCAGGATGCATCATACCTATCTGATGTGATTGTCAGTGTGCTTCTCATCTAACCAACATCATCCTCACCCTCAGAAGGCCTCTTATTTAGCCGACATCACTGTGTGTCCTCTTGGCATGTGGCCGACTTTGCTGTGTGTCCTCTTGGCATGTGGCCGACTTTGCTGTGTGTCCTCTTGGCATGTGGCCGACTTTGCTGTGTGTCCTCTTGGCATGTGGCCGACTTTGCTGTGTGTCCTCTTGGCATGTGGCCGACTTTGCTGTGTGTCCTCTTGGCATGTGGCCGACTTTGCTGTGTGTCCTCTTGGCATGTGGCCGACATCGCTGTGATACTGCTTGACATTTAGCTGAATTCATTATCAGAGTACTCCCTGCCTAGCTGACATCACTGTCAAAACTCTTCTCATCTGCCTGAAGTCATTAGCAAATGTTTTGTAATGCTTTACCTTTTTTTTTTTTAAGATTTGACTGACATACCGATAATTATCTACCTTAAATAATTTCCCTGATATTATTACAATTATACTAACATTGTATGCTTAATTAAACATTAACTTTCATAATAAAATATAACATAATAAAGATGAAGGCATTTCCATCTAACTTACAGAAGTCATCAAACTCATTACCAAAGAATTTGATGAACTTTTCATTTCGATTCCTTAAAATCTTTGATCATCAACTGCACCCTTGATCCATTTAAACAAGATCATTACATAGGTTACTCAGTGTTTCTTTTACTGACATTCTTATTACTATTTTTGCTTTGTTCTTATCTTGCTTGTATTTTCAATTTCTTTCTGGATTATTTAACTTCATTGTAGTTTCTAAAATTATGTTCCTACCACTCAATAACTTGACAATATTTGGTTTATTCTTTTGAGCTTATATCTTTCTTTTGACCTATAATCATTTTTATATGCCTGAAATTGATATATATATAATTAAATAATTAATAATAATAATATAATTAAATATACTATTATATATATTTTACTTAGAATATGATAAACAGCTCTCAAGTTTTAGAATATGATAAACAGCTCTCAAGTTTAATGATGATGTTATGTCTCCATCCATTATGTTCCTACCACTCAATAACTGGACAATATTTGGTTTATTCTTTTGAGGTTATCTCACACCAACAATAGGTTGAAATATTTGGAATAAAATCATATAAGCCATGATTCACATGGTATATTTGTTATATAAATGTATCATTAAAATTATAACACCAGCTGATTGATACAAATTGATTGATTTTATTAATGAAAGTTAATGTTTTATTAACCATGTGATGTTAGTATAAACTAATTTTTATAAATTTATAATAGTATAAACTAACATCACATGGTTAATAAAACATTAACTTTCATTAATAAAATTGGAAAATATAAATGAAGACATTTCCACCTAATTTATAGAAACCCTCATCAACTGCACTGTTGATGAATTTTTCATTTCAGTTCCTTAAAATCCTGGATACATTCCTGACATCATCTTCATGTTGACCTGCTTTTAATCTACTTACGTCCCTGTTATTTGGAATCAGTTTTATTTATTATGCCGATTTTCTTTTTCTTTTTTCGAGTTTCTCTCTCAACCGATGGTGAACATTTATAAAAGCTTAGCAGTCTTTTGGGCTTACAGCCATATCATGCCGAGACAGTTGTTTCTGTAAAGTCACCAAACTTTAACGCCATCAAGCCTGGTCAGTACCTAGATGGGTGACCACTTGGGAATACCAGGTACTGTAAGCTTGGATGTGTGGGTGGTGTGATGTATAATGGCTCAAAATTAAAAATCAGGAAGCTGAGTTCCAATTACAGTAGGGTTTGTTATATTCACTTACATGAAATTACCTTTGAGGGAAACCATCCTGGGTAAGATGATAAACTACATCCAACAGCAAGGCCTTTGATCAGGAGGAGAAACCACCTCTTAATTGTTGTTCCTAGGTACACCTTGACCCAGAGTGGTAGCACCTGTTAGGGTCCCAACTATGGGTAAATAGCTAACCCCCAAACTGGAGCCAAAACACTATGAAAGTATAAAAATATGTTTTAATACCAGAAATACTTTGTAAAAAAAATTCTTACCAGCAATAAATTTTTGAAGAAAAAATTATTACCAGCAATACTTTTTTGAAAAACTTTTTGGAAAAAAAAAATATTACCATCGATACATTTTTTTGAAGTAAAAAACATTACCAGCAATAAAAATTGTCAGCATTAAATAACCAATTGAGGTTGATATGCCATAAAACAAACCAAACCAAATATTTGAGGGAAAGGTATGAATCCACCACTTCTTCCCCAGCTATGGGTTAAATAGAACTTTTATCAGTAAATCATTATTATCTTTCAAAACTACTTAGAATTTAAAAATATTTTCTGGCTTTAAATAACCTGCAAAAGGTTGCTAAGCCATAAAAAAACATGTCAATAAATTTGGTTACTATTTTAAGCCAGATAAAATCAGATATGAAGAGAAAATTTACATTCAAAAGTAAACTAGAATCCTAGACAAACTAGAATTTTTATACACTTACATAAATATAGCAATATTAACAGATTTTCAGGTAGATTTGGAATCTATTAATTTCTTAAAACTTTGGCTGGGCATGCCATCTCTTCTTGAATTTGGAATGCCACAAGTTATATTAACATTTGTTTAAAAGAGTCAAATGCACGTGAAACATGATTGTCCAATGAAAATCAAACAACACAAAAGTAAAAATACCAGAATATCTTTCTTCTATTTCTCTCCATATCTCAGTATCAGATGAAGCTTTAATAAAAGATAAACATAGATTGATAAACGTTTCCTATTTGTTTTTTATCTGATCATTCTGTCGGATTCAGATCCATATTTGATCCCCATTCATTCACAAGTAAATGACCCCTAAAATCCAGTAGAGCTGTATCTGAAAAAAATGCCTCATGCAAATCATTTTGTTATTATTTTTTGATAAACATGTGCTGGCTATTTTTTTCAGGTGGAAATCTGGCTTAGTCAGATTAATGATTTGTTAATGAGGCTGTGTTTATATTGCAGATGTTTATTTTTAACTTTGTTCTATTGATATTTATTTTCAGGATGCAGCAAACAGTGGAAAGACTGAGCAATTATTTGAAACCGGGTGGACTTTTATTATTCAGGGATTATGGTAGATATGACATGGCGCAACTTCGGTTCAAGAAAGGTAAGTTATCTCCCTTAGTTTTTCATTTTGTATTCTTTGTTACCAACGGATAGAAATGATAGATTTACGATACAATGTTCTTTTCGCTGCACAAATATTAAATTTGAATCTTTTTTTTTTTTTGTAAACGAATTCTCCTTTTTTTTAAATTTTTTAATGAACTTGTATTTTATGGATTTTTTTCTTCAAAATTTTCTGTCAGAGATGCAATGCTCTCAGTAAGTTTTTCTCCTTTACCATCACACTTTATCTTTATTCCACAATCCATTTGCACAAACCTGTTAAATTGTTACTTATTGTATCCCCTTGTTTCTCTTGTTTTTCAATATGCCCTGTGTGTATTAAATTCTCTATGTCCTCTTTCCTCATTATCTGTTCCAGAAATTTCAATTGTTTCTTTCTGAATGTCAGTATTGGTTTCCTTGTGGTTACTATTTTCTTTAAGACTTGTTATATGAGTGATACAACCACATCTCAATCTCTTCATCTTTGAGGAGATAGTCCCACATTTACATTAGCAGCCATGTAGGAGATTAAATATTACATAGCAGTTCAGCATTTTTTTTTGTTTCTAGGGACTTTTTCCTATTTCTTAATACTTGATTTCTGAAAGCACCTATTGTTATTCCTGTCCACCTTCAGATTTCTGTGTCACACATTCCATTTGTAACCTCAGCTCCTTCAAATATTTTCTTGTTAATCAATCAACTTTTCTGGCTTATCTCCCTTTTCGTCTTTTCAAAATCTCTTTTAGTGATATTCTTATCTCCATTTTTTTCTTTGTTCTTGTTGTATTTTCAATTTGTTTCTGGATTGTTTAACTTCATTGTAGTTTCTAAAATTATGTTCCTACCACTCAATAACTGGACAATATTTGGTTTATTCTTTTGAAGTTATTATCTTACGATCCATAGCAATCTTTATTTCCCTGAAATTACATAATACATATAATTAAATATACCATTATAGACTTCGAAAGATACACACGGAAAGATAGAAAAAAAGAAGGAAAAGGAATAGCAACTTTGTGCTGTTTGTTTTTTGATTTTGCTGACTGCACAGTATAGTTGGGTTAGTTTGGCACATTCTGTGAGAAAAAGAGCGCCATAACTCAATTCACTCTGTCAGAAATTTGGGAACAGCATGCTGCACTGGTTGGCATTCATGCCACAAGCTCCAATAAGAGGAAGAAAGCTCATCCAGAACTGAACTGAACACACAATGAATTTTCTCTTTGTTCTTATGGTGTTTGGCCAGTACTACTCTTTACAGGTTCCAGTTTGGTTTGCCATTCTCTAAAAGACTTGCTGAACCAAAACCTAAATGGTCATAATTTCAACTATTTTCTCCATTTTTCTTCTTTTTAGGCCGGTGCTTGTCAGAAAATTTTTACGTTCGGCAAGATGGTACAAGAGTCTACTTTTTTACACAAGGTAAGCAAACTTTTACATCCTAAAAATATATATGGAACAATAGTGTACAAAATAATTTACGGTATAAAGAAGAGTGACAATTTTATTCTTTTTATTTCTTCATGTATCTCGTCATTTTTAAGTCCTTATTTCATAGAGCATCAATTTCTAAATGTCCATTAGATAAAACTACATCACTTTTTATTAATCATCACATATATGGCACCAGTTTCTCATTTGTCATTACCCTCTCATGTCTAATGAGTCATAATATGAGTCAACTTTCTTTTCTTTCATAGCTATATCCATTTATTGCAACCCGTTGAATTTTCTTCCATTTCAGGCCAACTCCCAAAAATGTTAGTATCATAACTTATTTAACTCCCACCCCAACTAAGAATTTGCTAGAAATTTCTACCCCTCTCCTAGTTATTGCACTCCCACCCCACCTGACTTATTAGGCATGAAAGATTATATGAAACTGCACATTGACTTTGTGTCCAATTACTTACTTTTTCTAACTTGTTATAGATGGACTAGTTTTTAATTATTTATTATATAAAATTGCACCCCTATTTTATGTCCATTCATTTTTTGTAAATCATCATATATGGGGGATCAGTTTCTAATTGTTCATTATGTAAAAGTGCCCCCCACCATTTTATGTCCAGGCACTTTTTGTAAATTATCATATATGGGGGATCAGTTTTTAATTATTTATTATATAAAATTGCACCCCTATTTTATGTCCATTCATTTTTTGTAAATCATCATATATGGGGGATCAGTTTCTAAGTGTTCATTATGTAAAAGTGCCCCACCTATTTTATGTCCATTCATTTTTTGTAAATCATCATATATGGGGGATCAGTTTCTAATTGTTCATTATGTAAAAGTGCCCCACCTATTTTATATCCAGACACTTTTTGTAAATTATCATATATGGGGGATCAGTTTTTAATTATTTATTATATAAAATTGCACCCCTATTTTATGTCCATTCATTTTTTGTAAATCATCATATATGGGGGATCAGTTTCTAATTGTTCATTATGTAAAAGTGCCCCACCTATTTTATATCCAGACACTTTTTTGTAAATTATCATATATGGGGGATCAGTTTTTAATTATTTATTATATAAAATTGCACCCCTATTTTATGTCCATTCATTTTTGTAAATCATCATATATGGGGGATCAGTTTCTAATTGTTCATTATGTAAAAGTGCACCCCCTATTTTATGTCCATTCATTTTTTGTAAATCATATATGGGAGATCAGTTTTTAATTGTACATTATATAAAATTGCACGCCTGTTTTATGTCCTGTTGCTTTTTTTTTAAAATCATTTTATATGGAGGATCAGTTTTTAATTGTTCAACATAACCAAACTGCTACCCCACTTTATGAACAGCAAATTCAGTACCATTTTTATAATTATTCTAGTGTCTAAACTGATTCATATCCTCCAAGATGTACCATATATAAATATAAATAATTTCATGGGGACAGGGAACATTTGTCTCAATTTGGTACAAACTCTGTACACTGGTTTCATTTTTATGCAACACCCTCTCATCAACAACCAATCTTAGTCTATGACTGTTTAAATTTGTCTAGAGTGGTTTGTATTGTTAATTTACTTTGTGTGTTTATAGACATTGATAGTTTTTGTGTCAGAAAATCTTCATATTCCATCATTGGGTTATAAATGCCTCCTTTTTTTTTTTTTTTTTTTTTTTTTTTTTTTTAATCAGTATCACCCCAAGCATGGCAGTAAAGCTACTAAGACACAAGGGGTTACAGTGTGTGGGTGAATTAGGAACAGAAGCATTAGTAATGTGTAGAACGAAAAAAGAGCCTTCGGGAGGACATAAGATAGCAAGTGGCAATGCATTTAAATTCTTTCAGATTAAAGTTGGTTGGAAAGCATGGAGCTGGAAGGGAGTTTCACAAGACTCCTAAAATTAGATTACTGAAAACATTTTCCAACATTTTTTAGATTGCTTAGTACTTAAAAATTATATAAAAAAGCGTTCACCCGTTATTTTCTTAAATTATGTTTTAAAAGATAAGGTTTCCATAGAACAATAATAAAAGTATCAGCACCTCGTAAATCACTTATCAAGTTTGTGTATCTATGTGTGTGTGTGACTGTGTGTATTTATGTATGTATGTATGTATGTATATATATGTATATATATATATATATATATATATATATATATATATATATATATATATACACCCAAATATATAATTGGTATATACGGAATGAATTCCAATAACCAACAATTACTATTCTTAAAAGAGTGCTCAATACAAAGTAGAGCAGATATATTATTATTTATAAAAAATTATAACATAAATGTTATAAAATCACTACAAAAATAGCCATTTTGTTTCAACACCCTCAACACTTGATAAGACACCGAGGGTGTTGAAACAAAATGGCTATTTTTGTAGTGATTTTATAACATATTTATGTTATAATTTTTTTTTTATAAATAATAATTATATGTATGTATGTATATACACACACACACACACACACACACACACACACACACACACACGGAGAATAAGACTCCACCTATATGGATCGTGATTTCGCTTGTTGATAATTGACTCTATCAGCAAGACTTTTAATGTCCAAAACTTTTATCAAGGTAAATCTGGACATCAACATTTAAGCTGAGCCTCTTTGCATCTTTAACATTCAGACTTAAAAACTCTAAATTTTGTTTTTCTCTCCCAGCTTTTTTCCGCATTTTATATCGTAAGAGAAATCCCATCAATAAAACTTCTCAATCTGAAGAATTCTTCTTGGAATGAAACATGTCACAAAAACGTTTTCCCCTCTTCCCCATAGAAAGCTACTTCACAAAACATAATAATAAAAACAAAAGTGTAGGGCATAATATATATCATATATACTCATGTATCATGCAACTTTTGAAGACCTAATTTTGAAGCTAATTTTAAGGGGGTCACATTGTACATGAGATATAAAATTAGAGTATGTAATGCTGGCCCTGACTATGTCAATGACCAAATTATATATTAGATATCTCCACTAATTGAGAATCTAAAATTGGGTTCAAGTTGAGCCTATTTTTTTCTATATAAGCAGAGGAGACTCAGCATTTAAACAGTAGTGGTATAGTGACAGAAAAGCAGCAACACATCTGCGCTGTAAAATTCCACTCACTACACCTGATAGATAATTGGATTTGTTAAGTACGAGCTTCACATACTAAAACCAAAGACGCTCTCAAAAAGCTTACATGTATGATTTATGACCAGTGCTTGCCATTCACATAACAAATTAATAAATCTGACAAAGACTCAGCATTTTTCTTTTTCACAGCATCCGTCTTCTTCCTAATACTGTATATACTTGCATACTGAATTTTTATACACTGAGTGGCACACACACACACACACACACACACACACACACATATATATATATCATTTGGGATATTGTTTTACATGGCTAATGATTAGTGAACTGTCAATTAATAAGAAATCATTTAGTGTTATATCTCTTGTAAAAGATTTGTGTGTGTGTGATATATATATATATATATATATATATATATATATATATATATATATATATATATATATATATATATATATATATATATATATATAAACTCAATTTGTTTAGTATTTTTTAGGTTGTTAAACATTTTGTGGGATGGACAATTATCCCATGTTGTTACACCCGTTGTGTGTGAATGTGTGTGTGTGTGTGTGTATATATATATATATATATATATACACACACACACTGCGTGCCAAATTATTATCAAGATAACTTTTTTTTCTAATATTTCAAAAACCATCCAATCAATTCACACAAAATTTTCACACAATGTTGGTAACACTGATCTGTGCAATGTAAACAAACTGGCGCCATATTTGTTATCAGCACAGTGATATGAGCGTGCCAAATTATTAGAAAAGTGTAAGAATTTAGTGAAAAGATGGGCCGTAAAAGCAGTTTAAGTGATGCTGAAAAGAAAACTATCACCTCAGAACTCTCAAAAGGTAAATCTACCCTAGAAATTTCTAAAATGATAGGGAGGTGTCATCAAACAGTGAAAAAGTTCACCGCCGACCCTATACAAGTATGCAAAAGGGCAGATAAAGACAAGCCGAGGATTATTTCACGTCGTCTCATGTCACAACTTAAACGAGAGACCACGAATAACCCTGGACTTACCAGTCAAGAGCTTTTCAGTCGCATTGGGGATCCTACTGTGTCTAAAAGTACTTGGTATCTGTACCTGAGGGAAATACCAACAACAGTCAAACCTGTATCGAAGTCTCCGTTGATGAGAAATCACATTCAAAATTGATTGAAATGGGCCAAGGACAATATGAAGATTGACTTCTCTAAAGTTTTGTTCACAGACGAAACTCGAACAACAATTAATGGGCGAGATAGATGGTGCAAAGGCTGGGTAATGAACGGACAGAATCGCCATCAGCGTTTGAGACGCCAACAAGGCAGTGGAGGCATAATGATCTGGGGTGGTATCATTGGAAAAAAATAGTGGGCCCATGGAGAGTATCAGATTGCGTCAAAATGAATGCTGATGCATACATAGCGTTTATGAAGGAGCATCTTGAACCGTGGATGAAAAGGTAAAGAGTTGCCTTCAGAAGGGCCATTGTTTTTATGCAAGATAATGCTCCCTCACATGCTGTTCACAAGACTACTGAATATTTGAAACAGTTGGGCTTCGATGGACCTCGAAAAATGAAGTGGCAAGCAAATTCTCCGGATCTGAACCCAATCGAAAACCTTTGGAGCATCATGAAGTGAAGACTGTACGCCAACGGACGACAATTCAGGAGCAGCGCTGAATTGTGGGAAGCAATTCTTGACATATATCACGGCATTACAGCAGATGACACCCTACAATTAACAAATTCTATGGATCATCGTCTTCTTCAAGTAATTTCAAAATAGGGAAAGCACATTCCCTATTAATTTGTTTAAAACT